AGGTCAATTAACGGTTAATATATTTAGTCAGTGTGGGTCGTGTCGTGTGTGATAAGGATCGATATGATGTTATGTAAAGAAGAAAAATGTTGTAAGGGAGCTACCCTAGTGAAACATCTTGTAAGTAAGATCTTGAAATCTTGGGATTGGTAGGTAAGATCCTATCAAGATCTTTAAAAGATAATTCGTTTGTTCAGATCTTGTCCTATCTGATAAATCTGTACGTAAGATCTTAGCAAGATCATGGCAACGATTTCTTTGACTATTATCGTCTCACAAGATCTTGAGTAAAACAGAAAGCGACATCATTAGTTTATTTAGATAGGCTATCTAGTCATTCACCATTTTTTTATGCATACAGAACAGAATATAAGCAGCATGATTGAACATGCAAAAACATAACTTTACAAATTAAGTTTTTTTCTAAACTATTTCTCGACTATTGATTAATCGAGAAGATGCTGATCTCGATCGATGGTCGAGAGAGGACTACCCTAAACTGGTCTGGCGAATATCGGACCAACTTAAAGCCGGTCAGATCTCAACATCTGATTTGCTTGAGCTATTCGGGACAGGAATAGTTAATATTAAAATATATTGAAAAAATACTAAACATATTTTCAGAATGCATCATTCAAGATGTTATGAATTCTTACTCAAGATCTGTAATAAGATCTTGGGTACAAGATAATACAGTTATCGTGTACCTAAATTTTCAAGATCTGTTCACTTATCTGTACCCAAGATCTTGGCCAAGATCTTACTTACAAGATGTTTCACTAGGGTAGGTTTCGTAATAAACCTTTTTTTTAGAGAGTAGTTCAAATCTACCGAATCTGTTTTGGAGGTTTCGAAAAATACCTTCTTTTTCTAGAGTGCATATGGATATGAGTGAGAGTGTATGATGTGTTGACATCAACATGGATTTGTATATACTGAAATATTATCATATTTAATAAATAGTGAGAACATAATTGAATCCACTACAGAGCTAGGACGAGTACAAGTACAACAAGTAAAAGTAATTACTCACATTATTATAGTCTTTGTCATTTTGTCAGAAAGAAATTTCACTCAATGGTAGGAAAGATTGATATTGACACTGGTGTTGTGCAATTATGGATATCAATCAGTATCTTCATTCAATGATGGCTGATTGAAGTCAAGTTAAACTAAGCGAACATATAGTTTACTCATCTACTGTTGTTCTTATTCCGATTAGCAAAAAAGAATTCAAAAATGAGATAACTTACTCTTAGCGAAACCGATACAGTGTCATTGACGATTCTAGAATGTCTTTCATACTTATTATAAATGAAAATTTTCAAGGCACTGTTGTAGGAAATAGTAGTCAACAGCGAAGCACTTTATATCTTAAAAAGTGATATGGTTCCTTGGATGGAAGAAATGCAAAAAAAATTATACGAGCCACTTTGGCGAATAAAAAACAACTGTCACAACTAGTATAAAAGGAATGAATATATGAATTTTTATTTACTAATTTTCATGTATATAATAAAGTTATAGGGATAACTATCGTAACTATTTCTGTTCGATGTGATAGATGAAAGCTACTAGTTTGGAGACAGTCTTCAGTTTGTGTGTGACGATGTTTCAAAATGTCCGAATGACTACGATAGAGGCTAAAGGTTAAAAAGAGACACACTATTGAGAATTTTAGTGCTTTGTTTTTATCGAAGCTCAACAGTGACCAAAATGTATTCCCATTGGAACCTATGATGGCTTTTCGACAAATTTCCTAGTATGTTTAGACAAACACATACAGTTCTTTCTGAAGAATTATATAGAATAAGTTCTCAATGAATAAATAAACCTCTCATAATTTTGGTAGCTCACAACCAACCTCCTATCGCGGCTCCCATGTATAATCTAAAAACGATTATCTATACCTACACCAATATCTTACAAAAAACAGAAAAAAACTTAAATTTCGAATTGTTCGTGTCCGTGTTCTCTTTTCAATTCTTGTAGAGAGACGCAAGGTTCTCTGATTGCCAAGAGACATGAAAACTACTGTTACGATCGTCGTCTCTGGCACCGGCAACAAGTACAGATAAATATATATAGGGAGAGAAAAATTCTCTTACTGGGAAAAAAATTATAAAAAAAAAACTTCGAATTATTCATGCTCATGTTTACTCTGAAATTATGGTATGACGTGGTTCTCAATACTTTTCCCTGAAACAAATCTTCAATTATATATGCCACGATTCTATCTGACTTCGATAACAAACAAAAATGAAAAACATAATCAAGAATTTCGATTAATACGCGACCAAGTAAATACATAAAACTCAGTTGGCCCATGTTCGTGTCTATGGTTACCCTTAATACTCATTAAAAGAAATACAAACTGTTAGTGTAACCACTACCTTACATCTCAACAGCAGGCATGTAGAATGAATGAATGAACATTCTATAATGCAAATAAATGAAGAAAGAGAACGAAATCGGATTTATTTGTAATCGTATCCAGGTGACCGCTCAGTTCGTCGCGATCACTTCGTCACGATCACTTCGTCGCGATCACTTCGTCACGATCACTTCGTCGCGATCACTTTGTCGCAATCATTTCGTCGCAGATATATGCATCTTTTCTTTCCGCTGTGTCCGTTGCTATGTACTTATTGAATTCCTCCGAATTAAATCTTTCTTTTTCAAAAATGAAAAATCGATCAACTAATTCATCTTTATTTTGTGTATTATACATACCCAGGTCGACGAATACGGAGTCCGTATACGACAGGTGTTTATGTGCTTATAAAGAAACCAATGGCTCAAATGCTACAGCTACATAGTGATAGTTATATGCTTGCTAAAAAACAAAAATATATAAAAAAGAAAAAAAAAGTACATATATACTGTGCTTCTAAACCATTACTTTTCTCTTCCTAATCTGAAAACGAAAACTTAATGAAATGAGCGAAGTGACGAAAGTAGCGAGTACGTATAGGGATATTATTTTTCTTTTCTTGTTCTCTCGCGTTTCTGGATCTCTCTTCTTTCTCGATTTCTCTTTTTGGCTTTGTCGTATTTTAATTACATGAGAGTATTTTTCATGTAAAGTTTGACCGAAGGTAATCGGGGTCGAGGAATTCGAATCCGTTGTCAGATTCTTCAAATTTCGAGTTTGCTTTTTCCGTAATTTACCCGCTATAGAGAACATTTTCACGTAATAAAATGCAATTTTGTGCAAGAAAAATTGCATTATTATATATGAAAAACATTTGATTTGAATAGAAAACATTTCTAAACTAATATTTATCAGAAGCAGTGAAACTTAATATTAGTGTTGTAATACGATCGTACATGATAATATACGGTCGTATACGACAGTCGTTTAAGCCCGTAAACGGAAACCGTTTATGGCCGTTTTTTCCGTATATGCTCATCGTATACGAAGATCGCGAGCGATCTTCGTTTATCTCCATAAACGGTCGTTTACGAACGTGTATGTTTGACCTGGGTAGTATAACGATGAACAAATTGAAAACAAAACAAAAAAAGAAATAAGTAGCTGACGCGAAGAAAATGACCTAAAAAAAAAGAAAAAAATACTTTAATAAAAAAAAAGCTTATCTAAAGACTAATATCAGCTGCCATGTTTTGTAAGAATTGATCCAGTTGAGATGAGTCGTATGCGTTGACCAACCGAGCAATACGTTTGTTTAATTCTCGATAACATGCTCTCTTCATCTTGATATCGTTACCTTGGAGAATTTCCACCATATCTAATTCAAATTTTGATTGTTCACGACAAATCTTTCCTGCCAGCTTCACGATGGTAGGAGGATTAATTGCGATGCGATTGGCAAATGCACTGTGCCAAACTTCCACCGAGCTATTAGATCGAGGTATCGTAGCGATGACGTGATCATGAATGTTTCATAATTCGTGATCAAATTGAGACTTCTTTCGACCAGCTCCTAAAAAATTCTAGTATACTTCAAATTTTTTAAGAATAAAACAAAGATACCTCTTCTTTTTGGTTAACCAGTCCACGTTTTTTCGAAATAATCAAGTAAATCGTCGGTGTCATCCGTCGAACTGATCGGCAATAAGATCACAGCCAGTTGCAATTTCATCTACTGAAACAAAAGCAAGAGCAATTAATTTCTTTACATTTAAACGAAAACACTCATCTTCTCTATATTTCCTCGCCAATCCATTATCTTGAACTTGCCGCCATACCACTTGAGAACATCAAAGATAATTAGAAAACAAAAACAAAATTTAATTGGTAATTTACTTTGAACGTTCCATCAGCGAACCAATGTTTGTTTTGGTTCAGGACAGATAAATTTGTTTTCGTTGTGAAGATAATTAAATTTTTGTCTTTGTAAAAGATGAAGGCTTCATCACCGTACATCTTTCTCAATCATTCTAGTAAAAGACCATCGACATCGGCTGTACCAACAGTATGTTGTCGGATGTGGGTGTGGATGTGAAGTATTAAATACCAACATCCACACCCGGACCGAAGTTTCGAACATGACCGACGAAAAACACAGGACTGTTTCGAACTTAAAATAATAATAAAGTTTTTGACAGCTCGTTTTCAGCTACTGGTAGTTTATTCGATACAGTCACAATGTTGAAATTTTTTTTTGCGAAAATGTCTACAGCTGGTCGGTTGATGCAAGACTTCTAAGCAAACGGTCAAAAAAACGGTTTCGAAAATACTAGTCTACAATGTTCGGTCATGATCGAAAAGTCGGTTATCGGTTTCGGTCATGTTCGAAGGTGTTTGATGATCGCAACATGCCTAGCTCATACACAATGCTTTTTCAATAACATTCAACAAAGAAGTTTCTAGTAGATTTTAGATGTCTGACGTGTTTCAATCGAAGTGATTTTGAAAATGTCTTTTTAAAGTTTTCACACTTCAAGAAAATTTATTTTATCAACTTTCAACGATGCGCCATAAACAAAAGGTCGTTTCGCCGACTTTTCAATCTTCGCGTTAGCGTAGTTCGCATCTAGTTTTCTCTTAGTTCTCTAATATGTTTAACAAGTTCTTTCCGTCCAGTGCCAACTTTCACCAAATCGAAAGTGCTTTCTTGTTCGTAAATAGAATAAATATCTACTGAGGTAAGGCAGAAGAGAAAGAGACGAATGTCCACCAATGGAGCTATCCAGAACCTGAATGAGCATTCTACCTCGACAAAATCACCTTCTTGTTTCGGGGCGAACAGTTGCATCGAACAATTGTCTGTTTCAAGTTCACACTTAAGGCGACTGCACCAGAGAGAAACTTGTCCGCCTTGCCGAACATTGACAACGAAGTGACACCACGGCCGCTTTCGTGATGAATTGTAAGGCAATTCCTTTGCTGTATAACTTATACCTCCAAAATAAATATGTGCAGAACGATGATATTTATCATATTCGAAACGAAGTACTTGATCCGTCGACTTCGAATTCACTTGGAATTCCAATTTACCTGAGCCGTAAAAATTGTAAATCCAGAAGGCGAGAGAATAGTCTCCTTGAATAGCTGGAATGGAATTCGATCGGTATTTAGACTCAGCTTTAACTACTGTGAACAACGACGAGGAAATGGGACATGGAAAAGGGAGTACGTGGACCCTATGTTCTTGTCCATCTTTCCAACGCTCATGTTCCTCTTCCATGGTTAGTTGAATAGCTGGATGACGTGCAAAACGCCGCTGTGCCCATTTGTTGAGAAAGAGTTCGTCACTTATTAATGAGTGCCATTGACGACTGACCACTGATATGGAGAGCAGTTCAGGGAGAGTACTGTTGAAGTGCAGAAGAATTTTCTCAAGTAGTTCGACGGGCACATTCTCCATTTTATTTCTTGGTTCGTTCGAATGTGATACTTTAGAAATTCGTCCCCTTCACACACGTGAGAATGATACTCTATTAGCCTCCTCACCTTTCCTTCTCTCTCAGTCAACGAAGGAGTGGCAAAAAAGATGTATTTGTTTTGCTCTAAAAGAAAAGAAAAAACAAGATCGTAAAAGAAAGAGCCTTTATAGTCAAAGCAAAATGATGCCATAAACTCGATAAGCAGTTGTGCAGATGCTCCCTTTTTTGTGTTGTACAAAACACTCAGAGTCCATGATCTGAGGTCATAAAAATGTATTACATGCTTAATTGAAATCGACTTGCATTCAAGCTATGCTGTCGAAAGCAGGCTGTCATCTCAACATTTGATTGATCATAGAAATATACCTGCATAGTGTTCACTCTTCTGTTTTCATCTACGGCGGCTACCAGCGTCTCCTTTAAAAAGTGTGCAAGGAGAATCAACAATAGCTTTTCCATGTTTCTCACTTTGGTTGAATCAAAATATTAGCATTTTGCATTGTTCACATAGTCTGATGTGTGTGTGCGTGTGTGCTGCATGACCTTCCGGTGATTTCTTTCACAAAAAAGAAAGACGAATAATACATCACGTTCTCTCTAGCAGGTTCTATGTGTACAATGATTGTTTCAGCATCTGAGCTGTATGAAAAACAATATTAATTGTGCTCTTGAATGCTTAGCTTCAGTAACATATCTCTTTCATATATTGTTCGAAGATCACACGTTCTGTATTGAATGTAACAGAGGTCAAAATTGAATTAGTGATAATTCAGTGTATTTATTCAGAATTTCAGTTTCGCTACTAACGAGGGAACCTCTCGAGGTGATAAAAAGCTTTTGAAGGGGGTCTATACCCATGAGATAGCCCATCAAAAGTTAGGAATAATCCACCTTATGCGACGTCCCCAAGGTGCCTCTTCGTGGAGAAATTCGGTTTTTACTAGTTTTTTTCTCATAAGGACTCAATTTCGAGCAAAATCTGGCATTCAAATTTTGACCTAAAACTTGCCGCATAAGTAGCCCAGGGTCTCACTAGCACGATGACAAAATCTCAGTTTAAACAAAATTTTCTTCCTTGAGATATGAGCTTTTCAAAACACGAAGCTTTTTATATTTTGGAGAAAAATTTGAATAATTGATATCTCAAGGAAGAAAATTTGGATGTGGGTGTGGGTGTTGGTAAAGAAGAGTCACACCCCCACACTCACACCCCCATGTGATGCCGTAAATGTTTATGATATCTATCTTCGAATCGAGTATTATCTATTCTGTCATTTAAAATCTTGCTGTTGATGGTAATTATGACTTGATATCAACTAATGAAATTTTTTGTTGCTTCTCTTTCTTTCTCTTGTTTCGTTGTATTTATCTATCATGTACAGACGCTCAGGAGCGCGTCTAATCTGAGTGGGAGGGTGTGACGATTATTGATGGCACGCTTCGATGATTCTCCCTCTTCTTCCTTCTGTTCTCTTTCCATTCTTATAATATATCTCTCTTCTGCCTCTCTTCTATCTCTCTCCTATATATACGTGTGTTATGTATGAACTTGTTACACTCTGGATATGTGAAGTAACGAATAAACATCATTGCCATGAGTGACTGTAAGCTACTCCACCTCTATCCAGTTTGTCTAAATACATCAACTAAACAGAGTTACATATTTATCGTTACAGTGCATAATTTCGATAGTTAGTAGAATAAAATAATGGTGCTATTCTTGACACACAAGCATTTCTGGATTTAAAATTCGACATTCTAATGGAACAATATAATACCATCAATGGTTCAAATAAATGACGTAGCATAAAATACCAAAAACCAAATCATTTTGATTTATTAGCTTAATTTCCTGTCCAATTCGATACTTCTAATGCTATATTTTCTTCTCCAAGAAAAGTAACTAATTTATTAAACCATATTTCTTTTATTGAATTAACATGATATTCAATGGGAAAACTTTCAAAAAGCGTACTAATCTTATTAACTAATGATGAAGAATTTGATAAAGATGTTGTAATAGTACCAAGGTCGAGCAATCCGGCCTGGCAAACAGCCGGTGCCGAGTAGTTCCGTTGATTTTGTGGAAGCAGTATTCCATTTGGAAATTTTTAGCGTTTTTTATGGTGATTTCCAATTAATTCCTGCCGGAAAGCACCGGAACTTGGCAGGAATTCTGCGGAGAAGTTCAGCCGTATTTTTGACCGGAATACTGCTTCCATGTTCCACCGATTTCCCGTATTTTCCTGCAAGATATGGCGACTTTTCCGCATATTCTCTGGAGTATCCTACGAGATCCGGTGGCCGGAATGTTCGACCTGGGTACCAGACAACGTGTTTGATGCTACGCATGATTCTATAAGTAACATATACAATGCCGTGAATAGCAGTTTGCAAGCCCTGAATGATTTATTAAAGTGATGAACATTCAATATGGATTTGAGTGTAGCACCCCTATAAATAATCCCCAATATATCCTCCACTCCTGATCCTTCTAACTTTTACCAAATCATGATCATCGTCGTCTTTATCAGGTGAAAATCACCAGGATATATAAAAAATTTATGAAATTCAATTGGTTTATTTCTGATAACCTGAATTACAAGAAAATGAAACAGAACAGATATATTGTGTAAATGTATATTTCAATATACTTTAATGCAATTATGATATCATTTTTCATCAACTATGATAACTGCGTCCTGCTGATGGTTCGAGTCAAGTACAGTAACTTTCGTTTCTCGTAAGCATGTCTCTGGAGTTCTAATATCAGTTGGATTTTCTTTGATTGGTGTACAAAATTTTATGGAATGAGTAGACCTTTTTTGAGAAACTAAGTAAGTAGCAAAAACTCCTGAGAGAAGTGGAAAAATAATCGACCTAGATAAAATCAATGTTCCGTCATTATTGAATAAAGAAAAACATTTTGCAAAATAGTAGGCAAGTAGATTTGAATGAAATGAATTATCGATGAAGGGCTCATATTTATTTTATTTTTTCGGAGATTTATTTATTGTTAATAAACATGATTAAGAACTGAACATGCAAATTTGATCGCACATATCATTAAGGAGATGTTCACATATAAGAGAAACTTCATTGTTTCTAAAATAAAAAAAAAACAGTTCTCCATTTTAATTGAAATAACTACACGAATCTTTACTCTGGGATTTGAACAACAATTTGATTCAATATGTGTATACTGTATTCGCCGTAAAGTGTTTCTGTATTCATGTCGAAGTTATTGGCTACCTCGGCTGCAAAGTGATGCTTACTGATCGAAGCTAAAAACGATTGTCCTTGCTTAAGCACCTCGGATGGATTTTTTACTTTTTCAGCTGCTTCCTGCTGTAGTCGGCACATTGTACGGTAACTACATGTGTGACCCATCCGATTGGTGATTGTGAGCAATTGAGCAGATCATTCATGTCTCATGCGTTCGTTGCCTAGAAGATAATGCGTCGGTGTGACAAAACGTTTATTAGTAGCATTTATGATGTCATAGGATATTGATGCGATCTTTAACCGTTTAGGATCTTCAACAAATATGTCATCAGATAATACTGAAAGACAATATGTAAATGTTCTTTTTAAAGAGAAAAGAGAAGAAATATCTACATGAATAAAAATCATATACTTTTTTTAATTTGATTGAATTGCGTGTGACTCATTGTCACCATTCCAATAAAAATTTTCAAAATAGTTGGAACATAATTCCAAAACATGGATGAATCGAAATCGACAAGACCCATACGGTTAGATCCTAACATGGTAAAAAGATGTGCATGATTTTTAATGGATTTCCGTAGTATCTGAATCGTATCAAACAAAGATTCACATCGTGCTATTTCCATCGTTTCATATTTTGCAGTTGGTAAAAGAGTTCCAGATTCTTTTTTTCCGTAAGATGATATACATGCATGCTTCTCGAAGAGAACTGACAAATCGTTAAGAGTTACATACAAGTCTTCATACTTTGATCTACGATAAAAGAATATATAATCACCAGATTCAAGTTATAATCGAGCTCGAATCGCACTGCCAAGTAACATAACAGATGAATAAGATTCTTTTCGTCTTCTCAGAATATTTTCATAAGTAATTTTTATGTCACCCATAGCAACAATTTCTCCTTTCGCTAATAGATTTCTAACCCAGTAGCACAATTCTTTAAACCCGTTGACGAAAGTATTAATTAATTGTGTATCATCAGCAGCATTTAAAGTTGACTTTTCCCCATTGCATGATGATAATGTTGAAAAGCGTTTCGAGCTTCTTCTCGATGAGCTTCGGTGCCTCTTTAAATTTTTTCTGTTTGATATAACCTAAATTAACAAGACACAGATAACAATACTATTCATTTTATCTAATTTAACAATACTTAACTGTTTTACGACTTTTTGCATTCACATTTACCTCAGAACCTACTTTATTTAGTGTTGATGAGCCAATATTCGATTGATCTTCAATCGTGATATTTCCCATTGATAATTCCTTACATGAGTTGAATATTTCATAAGCGTTTGCATGTTGTCCGGAAGTTGTTTGTTGTTGATTTTCCTAAACATAAAATAATACAATGAGTCTATGAATAATTGCTTTTTTCCCTAGAAAACTCCTACGATAAAGCTGAATTAGTGGAAATGAAAATTTATACGTCTACATGAAGAAAAGCTGAAATCCAGAAAATAAATTAAATTACTTTCTATTTAGTACATTAATTTTCAATTTTTCAAAAGTGAGTTCAATACCAGTTACATATAATAAATATGAAGAGCGAGAGCATTCACTTACCTGTTCAATTGTACCTTTATTGATGTAAGACTGATTGCATAAAAACCTGCCACTGCCTACTAGATTCTGTTCTGGTTGTACCAAACGAGTATTTAGATCAATATTGGTAGACTCCGATGAAACTACTTTAAAATTCATTATGAGATAAACTACAATATTGATATAGATAGTAACCTTTTTGTCGATGTATATTATTGAGAACTCATTTGTTGTCGATCCATACATTACTTCGCTGAACTGATTTGAGTATTACGTATTCGATACATTCTCGTCACAATTGTTTTACCTTAAAGTGTATTTATTTAATCTAAAGACATAATTTGTCTGAAATAAGTCGAACAAAATGGAACGTCAATCAACGACGTTCATATTAATGAAAATAATTCACGATTTTAATTACAATACAAATACTGAAGTATTTTTATGAGAAAAACATTTTCTTATCTGTTTTTTGACCTTTTCGTTAAACTGGGCTCGTGAACAACGACCAACGTTCTTAATAGAAATCTAAAATAGGACGTATGCATACACTCTGTTTTCCCGTGTAGCGTGTAATGGTAACACNAGTTAAAATGTTGATATCTATAGATAAAAATACTTCTATTAAAAAGTCACTTTTATTTTATTTCCCATGTTGATGAGCGCATGAAAACTTTAAATTTACTAAATGTAAAACATGTTTTGAAAATACAAGGAAAAAAACAAGATCTCACTCAATGCAAGACATTAACTGACATTTTCATCAAACATTATTTATTCGCACTAATAGATGTGTGAATACCTAAACAAGAATATTACAAAGGATATCCCAATAATGCATGCATAGATACAGTTCAAATAATAATATTCATTCAATTATACAATAACTTGATATAAAAAATACTTTTTTTTATTTTTTGATGATCTGTATGAAAAAAGTACGAACAAAAAAACGCAGATTTTTAGCACTTGAAAATTTAAACCAAAGTAGACTTATTCTAAGATGGACTCATTTTTATTGTTTTCGAAAAATTATTTCATTGCTACTTCATGTCTTTGATATAAGACTACAAAAGTGATAAAATATACTATATGTTATATGAACATGGACGATGTATAGCGCCTCTATCTATTTTTCTATTGGGTCAGACATAAAATTTTGATTACGTTAAATGGAAATTTCTTTCTTTTTTTTACTCATTAAAGCACGAAAATTCTTGTAAAATAAATACATCGCGTAAAAACGAAACAGCGTGTACAGCATGTACACAATATTTTTTTCCAGTGTGTAAAACATCCTATTTTATTAGAGTACCGTACCCTAATGAAATAGAATTTAGACGCTTTTTTACACGCTGTAGAAAAAAAATAGCGTGTACAGTGTACACGCTGAAGTTCAGTTTTACACGCTACTATTTTACAGATAATCTTTTTCGTTTATGCTAGAGATGAAAAACGTTCACTCTTAAACGTCATGAAGGGTATGAATACCACGTCCAATAAAAAAAAGATAGGGGCGCTATAATAGCACCGCTACCGCTATTTTATGTCCGATGTGGAATATCCATTGTACCACTAGTACAATGTGTATTCTAGTACAACACAACGCACATTCTACACGTCGGTAAGTATATCGCTTTGTTCATCATTTCCATTGAATGTTAGGCGATACTGAAATATTTTCTAGTAGCTTAGAACGATCTGACCATGTAAGTGTCAGCTAATATTTTTTATATGATCAGAGTTCTTGTTTTATTTCTTGTGATTTGAAACATTTTATTTTTGTTTATTATAAATCTATGTATATCCATTGAAATGAAAAATGAAATAAGTTTCTTTTTAACAGATATCATCTTATGGTTTTAGATACCAGATTTTCGAATATTGTACACTTTGTTTTAAAAAGCAACGTGTACGGGTACATGGTGTTCTAAAAAACACAGTGTACCCGTACATTCTATTTCAGATTCTTATGAAAAACGCTGTACCGTACATATTTTTTTGCTGTGTACACTCTTTCATTAAAAACACTGGCAACGACATTGTTTTGTAAATGAACGTTTTTAATGCTCAAATACAAATCTTGAGCGCTATATAAAATCCTCAGCAAGTGATTTAACTGAATCAATAACAAATGTTTCTGATATTTATAATTCAATTGAACAATCGAAAAAATCGTATTGAAAATGTCCGTGAACGTTTACGTGAATGTAAAATTTTATTATTACTTAAATGTCAAGATATTCGTAAATTATGGTTATTAATATCTGAACAAAATGCATTAATTAAAATTTATCAAAATATTGATGCATTAAAACATGTTCCAATACGTTTACAATTTTATTTAAATAAAAATTTATATATTCATGCATCATTATTATTAATTAAAGCGAAAGAACATCAACAATTACTTTTAATAAAGGCTTTATCAGATATTGATGTAAAATTAAAAGATGAACGCATAGCATTAGAAAATCAATTACGTTTAGAATTAATAAATCAATTATTTGAAAAATCATGTCGAGATATACTTGGAAATAAAAATGATCAAAATTATTTATCACGTATAAGAGAAAATCGTTTATTAAGAAAACAACTTGATCCAAAATATATATTAGTTGATATACGTCAACAAGCACCTCATTTCTGTCTTGATGTTTTATTACAATCATTACCGATTTTATCACATTTTAATGAAACACTTGATTATTTGCAAAAACAATTTCATCGAATTGTTTTACGTACAACACAACATATTATTGATAATAATTTTGTTTTACATTCAAATAATTGGCAACAAAATTTTGTTAAGTAATAATCCTGATTGTTTAAGAGATTTATTATAAACATGTCATGAATAATTTCAAATTGTTGTAAAATATATTGAATATATTTTAAAATTAATACAAGAACATTAAGTACCATTACAAATTCAACAAGATCAATATATTGATATGCAAACTGATGAACATCAGCGAACAATTTCCGAACAAAAACAATCAATACCAAATCCAATACAATTTCAAATTCCATATTTATTTTCAATGGAATTTGTTTGGGAAACATTCAATAAATATTTAGTGAAGTATTAAATGAATATATTGAATATAATAATACAGTTGATGGTTTATCAACAAATTCCACATCTTTTGGAATTTTCTCAATCAGCACTATTTAATTCAATGACTTCTTATTCACAAGAGCAAAGTCGATTTGTTATTAAACAAGAAACAACACCAACAAAAATCGCAACGTCTTATAAACAATGTTTGTAAACCAAATAATAGAAATATAAATGCTGTACATGATATTATACAAAGAATTATTGAAGATATTGCTTCGAATATTCAATTGCATCCAACTAAACGTATTCTTGATCGGTGAGAATGTTCAATTGAAATATATTTATATAAATATTTTGTATTTATGTGTAGAAAATTAACTGAATTTATTCGTGATCGTTTTATTGGTTGTGTAATAAAAGATACATGTGAATCAGTACAATTGGCATCATCATCCTCATGAATTGCTGATAAAAATCGTCTTGCTGAATTATTTCCACATAGGGATGAGAAAGTTATTGTTATAATAACAAAAACTTTCTCACACCTAGTTCCACATGTTTTACAAAAACAACTTCAATTACCAATACCAATTCTTCAATAAATTTCTTTAATATTTAAACCCTGTGAAGAATTATGTGCATTAGTTAAATGTCTTCCACCATATGCTGATGATTTTTGTCAAGCAATTATTGATCTTTTATTTAAACATCGTGAATCATGTTATAAGTTATTTTTATCAATTGTTGAACGTAATGATTCACCAGAAACATCAATTTATTCAAATGAATCGGTTAAAGATCAAGATATAAATCATCATATACTTAAAATCCCTGTATTTTATGCATTTATTCGAATGGCTAAACAACAAACTACATCAAATAATGATAAACAAGAAGACACTGCTGATAATATACGGTTTCGCCAAATGACAGTTTAGATTGGTTATATTGTTAATTATCATATTATTTTCATATTTTGGATAAATGTTTAAATGATACCTTAATGAACAAAGGTTTCTTTCGAAAAAGTGAATATATTATTTATTTGAACGCTTAATTTGTTTGATTCTTTTTCAGTAACTGGACAAAATAATGCAAGTGTTAGTGGTTATGTTGATCCGTATCAAAATGCTGGCGGAGCTAAATAACATTTACTTACATTAATTCGATCCGTTCGAACCATTATGAGAGGTTAAATCATTTTTTTAAATTTATATTCATTCTATTAAATTTATGTTGTTTATTTTTTAGTTGCATTAATCGCATTTAATATTATAACGATTATATTTTTGATTTTATTTGGTTAATAAAGTATTTATCTTTGACTCTTTTTTGTCTTAGACAATGTCTGTAACAACAGGTGAAACATTTAATTTAGAAAAAGATATTGAACGAGCTATTGTTCTACTTGATCGTCTTCGTACAACAAGTGAAATACCGGAAACAGAATTACAATGGATATTACAAAGCGATTTCTTTGATGCCGTTTCAGAAGTTTATGAAAAAATTTATGAAACTTCGAATAACTGGTTCACTTGAAGTTTGAGCTAATGCTACTGCTAAAGCGACTGTAAGTTAATAAAGAAAATATTATTCTTTATTTCAACTTAATTAATCTTGAAAATTTAGCTTGCTGCTTTTGCTGCTAGTGAAGCTCATTCATATCCACGTGTAATTGAATTATCTAAAACTGCTGAAGGTCTTGCTTTTAATGTTATGGGCGCACGAGAACAAAATTCCCCTATTTATAAATCATGTATTATACCAAATGGTATAGCATGGAAACATGGTGGACTGCAAAAAGATGATCAACTATTATCAGTTAGTGGGATATTTGTTGAAAATGAACATCAAAAAGCTATAGATCTACTTAAACAAGCATAAGGAAATGTTAAACTATCGTTGTACGTTGTTCACCACAAGTTTTAATTGAAATGGAAAATCGTTTTG